AAAATAATAATAATATAATAAATTAACTTTGGATAGGAGTTTTCAGCTTATACCTTATGCAAAGTATGGTTTTGCCTTTAAGATCCTCAGTAGCACAGAAACTGGCAGGAATCATTTCATTAATCTTTACCACAACACAGAGAGACCAGGAGTAAGTAGCTAACACGCGTTCACATAGGTGGAGGGGTAGTTGAATCAAGATTTGAACCCAGTGGTCTTGATTCCATATTCTGTGCTCTTCCCCAGTCTTTCCAGTAATAACTATTGCCTGTTTTACCATTTCCATTTGTTTTTTGATTACCACTGAGCCCCATGTGTCCTGATAACACAGAACATTGCTGTTCTTACAACCTCAACTGAATCTCTAAGCCATTCTTAAATGTATAATTTGATCTGTGCTTTAATAACTTAGTTCCACGGTGGAGCGCCTGGGTGGCTCAGTTGGTTGAGCGTCCAACTCTTGATTTCAGCTCAGGTCATGACCTTCAGGGTCGTGGGATGGGCCCATGTCGGGCTCCAAGCTCAGTGGGGAGTCTACTTGAGATTCTCTCTCTCTCTCTCTCCCTCTCTCCCTGCTCCCCCGCAGTGCTCGTGTGTGCACATGTGCTCTCTCTAAAATAAATAAATATTTTTTAAAATAAATAACTTATTAGTTCCATGGTCCATTCAGCCAAGTGGAGGCAACACAGTATAGTAGTTAAGAGCAAAGCTTTCCTATCAAGTCTGTTGGACTGCATTTATATCCAGATGATTGTCATACCCTCTAAGGCTTGAGAATACTTAAGTTTTTATTTTTTAACTTTTTAAAATTAGATCTTTATTAAATTAGACCACAACCAATATACATGCAGAAATTACTCCTCTATTTTTCTACTAAATCTCTTTTGGATTTACACCCTTGTTTTTCCTTCCCCTTTTTAGGTTGTCCAGACTGCTACTCAGATTGCCTGCTTTGAGATTGATGAATGCTACCATCACTGAAGAATTGTTTTTCAAAGGTCTCATTGGCAATGTACGAATTGACAGTGTCATCCCACATATTTTAAAAATGGAGCCTGCAGATTATAACTCACAAATAATCGGTCACAGCATCTGAAGGCTGAGATGTCAGTATAAACTTACTGTTGTTTCCCAAAACACAAGAAGACACCAAATTGAACTCATTGCTTCCAGGGTATCGGGAAATTTTGACTTTAAAGAGTAACCAAAAACCCAGGGTGTTTTTATTTTAACTTCTTAAGAATTTTTGAAGTGACTGGGCAGGTGGCAGGAATTAGAATTTCCCTTCCTGTCTTAAGTGACTAAGAAATACTATGAATTTATTCTTGGTTAAGATGACACCCTAAGCTATCACTTCTTGGCATCTAAACTAAGATCACGTATTATATTTTATCTTATAAAACAAATAAATTAGTCTTTTTTTTTCCAGAATTGTGTTCTATTCATGTTTTCATTATGAACTAGTACAAACATTTAATCTTCAGAAATCCCTAAGGAGGATTTCCTTGCAGTTTAGTCTTCCATAATATAATCTGTTTGTTTTAATTACCATGTAAAAGATTATTTTATGCTTAATGGTATGATGATAACATTAGAACCATAGGAAATATTAATTAAATATATATATATATTTTTTGTCTTTTGTAAATATTACGGCACCCTAGCATATACCAGTCTCATTGCTGGCAATGAGACATAAGCCTACATGATCTCAAGACTTTTTTTAGTGTTGTATATTATTAGTTATAAGCACTTTTTATTTATGTATGTAGCAGAAAATTGTTTTTGAGAATGAGATAGGGTTCATGTTTTAATATTTTTGATTTACTGCTGTGTTTTAAAAGTAGTAGAGACTGAGCCCAAAATGTTTCAATATTTTAAAATAGACATTAAAATTGTTGCTCTTCCATTCCACAAAAAGTATTGGACTTCTCTCCCTCTTTTCGGACCTGAATTAGAACATCCTGACCTTCAGTGAGTTTTAGCCCTTTTCTTTTAGGTCATTAGAAATACCCAGTTTGTTAAATAATGGATTTATCATAGCCAATCTGTGTTTTCAAGGTGAGTTAAACAATTATTTTAAAGCAGATTGATAATTTTTAAAAATTTAAGTTTTTAATATGTAAAGGAATATGCACTGATATTTCACTCTAAAGGGGGGAAAGCTGTTTTAACAGTAGTATGAGCATCAGCCTGAAGCCTTGTTGCCACAGCAAAACCATTTTAGACTCCTTGGATGCCTTCCACAGTAATGTTTTCCTTAGCAAAACTGAGACTGTTAAATCTTTCTTTGCTCTGATTGTCATGATGAATTGTTTTGGTATGTCTGTGTGTTGATTTAAAAAAAAAAAACAAATATGGAGATTTTATTGCACTCAGAGTACATTTTTTATAAAGATTTTTGCAATAGAAAAACTGAATTTAGGGGAGGGTGTGGATTTTACAAATTGCTACTTTATAGTAAATCAGAAGTTTAAAAGTATCAACTTACAGTCTTTACCAACTTATTAAGGGAAACTTTTTTCCCTATTTAAAATGTGATTTTTGTCAACAGGTTTATTTATAATTATCAACTAGGAAAAACTACATTTAGTACAAAATAATTCATATGGAAAAATCAGTAGGTTTATATCTTTATAAACCCAATGAAGTAAGCCAAGGATTCAGGAAAATAATTCTTTAAAATAATGTACTAATGGTTAATTAAGATACATGTTCCTTTCAAGTATTTGTCCTGATTAAATTTGTAGTTATATTTGGAAGTGTTTTTAAAACTATATTAAAATGTGAACTACATTAAAAATGTCCATTTATTTGACTTCAGAGTCCTGTTTGTTCAGTGTTTGTCATCCATTTGTTCTATTATTAAGAAATCTCTAACAGGATTTATTAACTAGGAAGGGAAATGCATGGAAAACATTTCCATATCCAATATTTTAGGACTACTTACAATTCACTTTGAAGAATTTCTTCTAAAACTGCAGATTGACTATTAATTTATTTTCTCTCTCCTGAAATTTCAGTAAAATAGCAGTAAAGTGTAACCACACAATGATAAATAAAACAGGAAACAAGAAATCAAAGGATAAGAGAATTCAGTAAATTCTTGGAAAACAAAATGCAATAAAGACTAACTGACTTATTAGCAGAGCCAGAACGAAGGAAGCTCTATTCTGAGTGCCTGCAAAAGGCAGTTCAGTGAGAAAGGCCAGTATCCTCAGAAAAGATGCTTAGTACTTGGAAGAACTGGTACTCATATTCCGAGATGATGCTTGGGACATTTAAAAAAAAAAAAATTGGTTGCAAGTCTGTGTACAAAATCATTGAATTACCTTTTCCTGCCCTTACTTAAGCCAGCTGACCACTTTTTGTCCTTCTACCTTTTTGATCAGAGGGCCAGAGGTTAATTTTCTTGAGCAACTGAACTGGAAGATCAGACTTAACAGGGCACCAGGAATAACAGAAAGCCTGGGTTAGATACGTATGGGGTTGAAAATATGGGTTAAGTGAAAATCTGCATTCTGAATGTGGGCTCTACAATCATGTTTCCACAATGCTGGCCATGGGTATAGGCTCCTCTGCCAGGGTTTTTTTCTTCAGAGAAATTAATTGGTCTTAGAGAAAAGATCTCCAGATACTCACTTTTGGTTGTATCTTGATGAAAAGCCTGCTGGCCCCTTTATCATTCTTCAGTGAAGCACACTAATTTCAAGTCATAGAAGTATACATGCAGTTTCTGTTCAACTCTTTATTGCCTACTATTAAATTTGAACTTAGAATCAGGATCACCGATAATTGAGGAAAATCTCCAATACATAAGAGATCAGACATTGTTAGGGCTGAGGGCAGGCAAATAAATCCAGGGATCAGAAAAATATCCACCCTCAAAGGTAATTAACATTTTGAAAGAAAGTAGACGTTAAATGAGAACAGGATGCTTTGGGGGCGGGGGGGGGGGGGGTTTGTTTTCAAATTTTTATTTAAATTCTAGTTAGTTAACATACAGTGCAGTATCGGTTTCAGGAGTAGAATTCACTTACATGCAATACCCAGTGCTCATCATAACAAGTGCCCTCCTTTATACCCATCCCCCATCCAGCCCATCCCCCACCTACCTCCCTCCATCAACCCTCAGTTTGTTCTCTACCATTAAGAGTCTCTTATGGTGTAAATACCCAGTAGTGCAATTGCTGGATCATATGGTAGCTCTATTTTCAACTTTTTGAGGAACCTCCATACTGTTTTCCAGAGTGGCTGCACCAGCTTGCGTTCCCACCAACAGCGTAAGAAGGTTCCCCTTTCTCCGCATCCCTGCCAACATCTGTTGTTTCCTGACTTGTTAATTTTAGGGATCCGAAGGGGTATGTGCACCCTGATGTTTATAGCAGCAATGTCCACAATAGCCAAACTCTGGAAAGAGCCAAAATGTCCATCGACAGATGAATGGTTAAAGAAGATGTGGTATATATATACAATGGAATATTACGCAGCCATCAAAAGGAATGAAATTGCCATTTGCAACGATGTGGATGGAACTGGAGGGTATTATGCTGAGTGAAATAAGTCAATCAGAGGAAGACATGTATCATATGACCTCACTGATACGAGGAATTCTTAATCTCAGGAAACAAACAGGGTTGCTGGAGTGGTGGGGTTGGGAGGGATGGGGTGGCTGGGTGATAGACATTGGGGAGGGTATCTGCTATGGTGAGCGCTGTGAATTGTGTAAGACTGTTGAATCACAGACCTGTACCTCTGAAACAATACATTAAAAAAATGTTTAAAAAAAAAAGATAGCAGGAGGGGAAGAACGAAGGGGGGGAAATCGGAGGGGAGACGAACCATGAGAGACGATGGACTCTGAAAAAGAAACTGAGGGTTCTAGAGGGGAGGGGGGTGGGAGGATGGGTTAGCCTGGTGATGGGTATTAAAGAGGGCACGTTCTGCACGGAGCACTGGGTGTTATACGCAAATAATGAATCATGGAACACTACATCAAAAACTAATGATGTATGGTGATTAACATAATAAAGTCTCTTATGGTTTGTTTCCCTCTTTTTTTTTCCCCTCCCATATGTTCATATGAGTGAGATCATATGGTATTTATCTTTGACTGACTTACTTTGCTTTAGCATAATACATTAGCTCCATCCACGTCATTACAAATAGATTTCATTCTTTTTGATGATCTTCTTTATCCATTCATCAGTCGATGGACACTTGAACTCTTTCCATAGTTTGGCTATTGATAATGACACTATAAACATTGGGGTGCCTGTACCCCTTCTAATCTGTATTTTTGTATCCTTTGGGTAAATACCTAGTGGCGCAATTGCCAGGTTGTAGGGTAATTTACTTTTTAACTTTATAGGAAACTCCATACTGTTTTCCAGAGTGGCTGTACCAGTTTGCATTCCCACCAACAGTGCAAGAGGGTTTCCCTTTTTCCGCATCCTCGCCAACATCTGTTGTTTCCTGTGTTGTTTATTTTAGCCATTCTGACAGGTGTGAGGTCGTATCTCATCATGGTTTTGATTTGTATTTCCCTGATGATAAAGTAATGTTGAGCATCTTTTCATGTGTCTTAACCATCTGGATGTCTTCTTTGGGAAAATGTCTTTCATGTCTTCTGCCCATTTCTTAACTGGATTATTTGTTTTTAGGTGTTGAGTTTGATAAGTTCTTTATAAACTTTGAATACTAACCCTTCTCTTAGTCCATAGGCTACCTTTTAGTATTGTTGATTGTTTCCTTCGCTGTACAGAAACCTTTTATCTTGATGAAGGTCCAACATTTTTGCTTTTGTTTCTTGCCTCCAGCAACACGTCTAATAAGTTGCTTCAGCACTCTTCTAGGATTTTGATGGTTTCCTGCCTTACATGTAGGTCTTTCATTCATTTTGAATTTATTTTTGTGTATGGTGTAAGAAAGTGGTCAGTTTCATTTTTCTGCATGTTGCTGTTGTCCAGTTTTCCCAACACCATTTGTTGAAAAGAGACTCTTTTTTTCCATTGGATTTTCTTTCCTGCTTTGTCAAAGATTAGTTGACCTTATTGGGTGCTTTGAAAAGGGACATTTGGAGCAAGGAACTGTCCTTGGAAATTAAAAATGATAGCCAAAGCAATTCACTAGAAGGGTTGGAAGATAAAGTTGTTGAGGAACTCACCCTGAAAACATATAACCAAAAGATAAATAAAGAAGAAAAAATAAAATTAGAAAATCAAATCAGGAGGCCTAACATTTTAATAGCTAGAGTTTAAGAAAACAGAAAAGAGGGGCGCCTGGGTGGCTCAGTTGTTAAGCGTCTGCCTTCAGCTCAGGTCATGGTCCAAGGGTCCTGGGATCGAGCCCCACATCGGGCTCCCTGATTAGAGGGAAGCCTGC